AGTATGTGAGACCATCCCCAGGACACACACACACACACACACACACACACACACACACACACACACACACACACACACACACACACACAACACACACACACATCTAATAGGGTATAAGGAGCTCATCCAAGAATTTTTCTCACCAAATTGTCCATTGGAAGAAAACTAAAGTATGATGTCTGGGAGGGCAGTGGCGCACGCATGCACGCACACGCACACACACACACACAACACACACACACACACACACACACACACACACACACACACACACACACACACACACACTGACACACAGGCCAATAACCTTGGTCCATCGTTAAGTCGTATCATAGTGTCACCGGGCACTTCATTAGGTACACTTCCACAATCTAATGGGATCCAGTACGAGAGGTGTAGCAAACATTCTGTCTTCACAAGACAATAATGCTCACTTCTGACTGACCGTTAAGAAGTTACCGAAATGATGTTACTCTGTTTTGGTATATCACTTTACACACAAGGAGTATAAAACAACAATCTTAAGTACTTCCTCAGAACCACGTCCTGGAGTTCTTCTTCCTTCCTCGAAAAGTCTCTTTGTGGTTCAAACAGTGCTACTGCCCTTGTGGTATGCCACAGCAAGTCGAATTCAGCACTACTGTGTCATGTCAATATTTAACTGAAAAAACACAAATGCGGTCTGACAGGCATTCATTAACCGATGCGTTTATTATTGTGGTTACAGTGGTGGAACAGCTGCATGCGTAATAGGGCTACATAGTTCAAATCTAAGAGGTCTTATGACCACAATAGGACAGGGAGCTATTGGCTCAATATCTTATAATGTTTAAAAAAAATTGTGATGAATTCAATGTGCTCTGCACTGGAGAGTACATTGTGAAAGTGTACCCAATAAAATGTTAATTGAAAGTGTTCAAAGTGTGGTTTGACATCAGCTTCGCAACAGGTACTGTCAGGGCTGGACTGGCATGGAAAAAATACACAATTTTAAAACAAAACAAAACAACAACAAAAAAACGGCCCTGACATTTTGACTTCGACTTGCACACCGGACCGCATGACTACCACATAGGTCTGCCACTGATGTTGATTGGTTCATTTTGCTGTCTGTATCGCAAATCTAACAGTGGGCTGCACTCTCTAATTGTACGCTGGTCTCCTGGGGTAAATAAAATGGAGGAAAATAATTAAAATAGCACCACATCGACGCCAAAAGTTGCCGGCCCACTGCGCATCTGCCTTTCAAGCCAATCCAGCCAGGAGTACTGTCTCAGTCCTGCTTCTGAGCAGACATAACATGAAGGCTCTGCGCTGCAGTGCAATGACGCATTGTCGAACCTACAAAGTGTCAAAGATATTGTCTGTCCTGTCAGTGATGTGGCGAGTATAAATTACAACCGCGCTCGAGCGAGACCGTCAGCTCGCCGGCAGCACAATGGACGCTACTCATGTGGCCTCGGCCGCTGCGCTTTGAAAGGGAAAATGTGATCCGAGGCGCGATCCATGGAAAAAATACCTTTTGAACATGTATTTTCTCTCTGTGTATAGAATTCCTGCAGATGCAAGAAGCGTGCTGCATTTTAGGGGATGCCCGGGGGGGGGGCGCTTGAATTGGCATTAGCCCCCACTTCCACCAATTCTGTCTGTTTGCATGCTACATTTAAACAGATGTTAGACCTTCCAACTGGGTTACATCCCCGGCACAGCTCCGTTTTTATGTCTCAAGTTCTGAAGTATTGCTGCTCATAACTGCGGAGTCCCAATGAGGTAGTAAGCCACACACATTTTCAACGGAACAGAAGAGATCATGTGAGGCTGCAGGCTCAAGGGGATGAGGTAGAAAGACATGTCGATGGATCCTATGACAACATTGTGAGATCTGCTCGTCTTTTGTTTGGGCATCGCTAAGGAAGGTCAGTAGAAGTGCATATTAGATACGATTTCTGGGGTGTTTTTTTGATGAAAATAAAAGCTTGGATGAAGCAGAAGAAGATGAGGCGAATTTACGACTTCAGACAAGTCCTCGTGATAGTAGATAGTGCTTGCTATTGGTTGTTGTAGCGTCAGTAGACCCTTTCAGTTTATTTGGTTTAGGCAGTATATTAAAATGTGACTGTGTACAAAATGATTTTATGTGTTGAGATACCGTCTTTTTACTGAGAGTACACCCATTTCTGATTTCCACAAATTGAAAAAAAACAAACTTTGCTTCATCAATATTTTCTTGGAAAATGAACATCTTAAATGTCACAGACAATGGAAATCTGTTCTGTGCAGTCTACCGGTTCTCCCCGGAACTGCCGTGTTCTCCAATCCAGTTTCGTCCCACATTCCAAAAAACATGCATCAAAGCTTCTGTGAAGACTTGAAATAGTCACGTGAACGTGAGCATGAATCGATTGTCCTTGCATGCCACTTTTGATGCCCTACTTCCAGGATACATCATGGTAGGGGATTTGACAAACTGACTGTTTTGATCGGGTTAGTACAGGGAACATTTGGAATTGCAAAAGAGGAAGTGTTTATTTATTTTATACATTTTTTTTGAATGATTGTCTTCATATTGCGCTTCACTGAAAATGTTTCCTTGATTTACTCTGATAACGGCTGATTTGTTTATTTACTCAACTGCAGATGGTGAAGGCAAGGTGTATATTTGGGTGTCGTGGTTATTTGTACTAAAGCATGGAATGCTCATTACAAATTCCATCTCCACGTAGGGAAATCACTTACGACATGTGGTATGACGCCACAATTCAATGCATCTGAGAGACTGCTCCTGTTTTAGTTAGCAACAAGTTCAAATAGGTTCAGCAGTTACAGTAACTCCTTAATGTCCAAACGTGAATGATCGTGTCTATGATTTGAAGTAATCAAAGTTAATACCTGTTTTTTCTTTGGGGCTGGGGGGTGGGGGGGGCCAAAAAGGAGGCATCTGTTTGAGTGAGGTGTTTATTTGTCTAAAGTGAATGGCCAACTGTGGTACGGCATCTGTTAGAGCTTGCGCTTCGGTAATGGTGAGTATCTAACCATGCCTCTCGTCTGATTCTCAGCATTCAACAAAAATAAACACAATCCATTGCGATGGATGGGAATGGCGATGCACAAGACAAGTCAAGGTTGTCCAAAACGGATGACAAACTGCATCGAACGGATGGAACGGGCACACAAATCACTGGCACGCACATCGCTGGACAGCACAACTGACATGATGCCTCAGACAGACGCCACATTGCAGGCATCCAAACGTTGCTTTTCGATCCAAAACTCTTGAACTGACACAAGCGGGCCTCCCGCCAACACGCCAACCTCAAGGGAACTCAGCTGACTTACTGCAGAGCCAGAATAAGATGTAACTGCTTCATTCTAAACAGACGCAACTCGACTTACTTGGTTTGTGTGTGTGCGGGTGTGTGTGCGTGCTGCCTCGTGAGAATGGTTAGCACATGGAAAAATCTTTCATATGTATGTGTGGCAGCTTCTGCAAAGTTGTCTAATTTATCTCTTTTTTTTATAGTGGGGGTGTGATGTCTACCATTGTCTCATACCATTAACCCTTTTCATGCACCCTGTAACCTGATAACAGCTGTCCGCTGTAGTTACCGCTCTACCTAAAAGGGTTAAAATAACGTAAAACAAGTCTTCTGAAGATGGCATAACGGCAAGTGGCGGGTTTACGCGATTTGGAGAAATAATAAGTGTCATGTAAAGTAAGTTCCAGTCCCACTGGTGGAGGCTCAATTTCAGTCAGATGTGATATTGTTTTGCTTGCTAATTTGTTTTTCAGCACAAACGTTATTTTCCAATGTGGACAATTAGAGGGCTGCCCCCCAAAGCCCTCATAACAGTGAATCTTCTCTCGCAGAAGGGGGTGGTGGGAGAAAGTGGCAGTTAGTTGACTCAAGACGCCTTCCAATGTGTTGGTTAGGGGGCTCACCTCGCCGCGACCCGAGCAGCGAGGCATGCCGCACTTTGACCTCTCCCATTATCGGGCCAGACACCGAGGTTTGGGCTGGGTGATAACCTTTGAACTCTGACTTTTAGCCCGAACTGTGCTTGCTTGGTGTGTGTTTACATGTGCGTCTGTAAACGTGTGGCAGGAAGACTCGGAGGTGGAGAAAGGGGAAATATGTGAGATTCTACACTGAGGCAATAGCAAAAAAAAAAACAAAAAAAAGATGAAATCAGACACTTTCTCCTTAACCCCTCCCCCCCACCCCTTTCATTTCGTTCTCCTGCCATGGTCTCTCAATTAGCCAAAGGGTTTGTGTGAGAGGGCTACATGAAATACGTTCAGCTATAACTGCACTCTCTCGGCTTACGTGGAGTTGATCATATTGTTGCTCGAAATAAGTCAGATTTAGAGAAAACTGATCATTACTTATTTATTTTCTCATCACAATTCTGTTTTGAATTATAAAAAGCAAACATGAAATCATTACATTGTGCAACAAATTAAAAAATACATCCCAAGCAAATACTCTTAATTTAAAAGAAAAAAAAACTCATCAAATATTTATTGGTAGTCGTGGTTGTAATAAAACTGCAAATATAAATGTCTCCTCTCCTATATGGGTACTTACAGTCAAGTTCCCCGCCCCTAAAAAATAAAATGTAAAAATATTTGCATGGAGAAGTAAGTAATTGTTGTTTCACAGTATGCACGTTGAGCTTTTCCGCCAGAAGTGTTTACTCTCAAGACCACACCTTCGCCACCAAAATATGCACAGTCCCAAATTAAAGTCTTTTTCTGCAGCGTCATTTCAGAGCAAACATCTTTTCAGTCTGCTGGAGTGTTGTAAGGCTTGTAGTGCAAATGGCTTCTGACAGGGACGGAGAGGAGGCGTTGCTCCAAAGAGCTGAGGGCCTAATGATTTGTTACAGACGCGGCCTTCAGATTTAAGCTATTTTTCACCTTGCGAGCACTTAATGAAATGTGTAATCGTGCTCTCTGGAGTCGTCGTTAATGCGTCGCTTTTCATTCTTTTCCCCGTCAGTGTCAAAGGTGTGTCCCCCGTGTGACAACGAGCTGAAGGCAGACAACATCATGGAGCACTATTGTGCCAGCGACTTTGGTAAGTATAGCAGCACTGCTATTAAAAAAAATAATAAATAAATAAAATAAAAAAAGTGTGGGGGGGGGGTGCAGGGGTGCATATTTTTGTCTTTTGTTTTGACAAGCATGCGCTCTGAGCGCTGACAAAAAAAAAAAAAAGAATCAGAAGCAGATACTTTATTGGCTCCACTGCTTATAAATTGTCAGTAAAACACAGCAAAATTCAAACATAATGAGCAAATATTATTCAGCAGCCATAATCATAACATTTGGTATACACATGGGATGGCATAAGATGATGGGACTCTCCTTTTTTCTTTTTTTTAATTATTTTGGGAAGGAGGGAACATGTGCATGATCATAAATGCACTTTGTAAAAAATACGGCTGTGAATGGAAGTATTTTTTTTCCTCGTACATGCCAGACGCGCTGCGCCATAAACACAATGATAAGATACGATGCGCTTTATTAGTCCCACAATGCAGATATTTGCCTTGTTTCACAGCAAGAATGGTCGCAGGAAGTTAAACAATATATTTTATTCTCATGTAAAGGCTGTATGTGATCTGATATGTTAGGTTCAGTTGAGGAAAAGAAATATTTTCCTCCTCATAAACACACAGACACACACAAAATACTATTTTTTCCCCTCCCGATCACTTTTGCATTCTCAAGAAATTGTTGCAACCTTGAGAGTTATCTATAGGGGCTGTTGAGAGCCACATTAAAAAAACAAAACATTATTCTTATTATTGTTGATGATGCACAGCAGCAGCTCTGATACTTGATCTGTGCGTTGGCATCCGCATCTTTGCACTAAACATAAAATGGAGGCTTGTCGACGATCAAACTTTTCAAACGGCAATCCGTGGTTAAAATGTGACCGCATCGGGGACGCAAACCGTATTTCCTCAAGGATCTCGTCTCTTTAAATAAGTTCTCCAGTATGTCATTTGGCAACGGCGCACGCGGCTATAAAATGGTAATGAGAGCCATTGCACTGCAAATCATATTTGCACACATCTAAACAAGCACCGCAAAAGTACGTCTTCGCCATGACTCAATCCACTCAAATAAAAAAACGGGTCGGCTGATTGATAGCAGGATTACAAATCACTGTCCAACTGAGGATCAGAATGCATCGCCGGCATTCTTCTTGGCCGTTTAACATGAAACATGAGCAAGACATTCCTCTGGCTACTCATGTATGCCTCTGGGTGACAAATGAGGCAGAAATTCCACGGGTGTACATAGCGAAATGAAGGCGAAGATGACCGCGATGCTGTTGTGATCGCCGATTGTGGTTTTGATCTCGCACATTATCGGTTCATGTTTCCTTTGAAGGCATTTCAAGTTTGCTTCACGTTACCGTTTTTCGCATCTGATCTCTTTTCCCGCATTCTTTGCTGGAACATCAAAAAAAAGAAGTCTTTTGTACAGTATTTAGTGGTTACTGCGTTATGAACATTACAGTACAGTATTTGTGACATCATGGCATTGATGTTTTGTCCTTTTATGTCAACTAAAAAAAGGGCGAAGCCTGATACTAAGGATGCTAGCCAGGTGGCCCGCAGAGCCTCATTTCATTTCATTGTGACAGACAGCAAGCAGCCATGTTAGCCCCCTGAATGTATTTTTTCATACAGAGGCCGCCGGAGACACTCAGACTTGTAGTCACACAAACGATAGAAGTCGGACGGCACACATGAGGCCGACGCAGCGCACATTCCACCTCGTAACACGCTATCTCCTCACATGCGGCGCGCACGTATCAGGAGATGTTTATGGAACAGTAGACAGTCAGACGAGGAGTGAAATGGTCGTCTTCCAAGCAGTCCACGGCGATGCTTCTCAACGACCCCTGTGCCCCCGCCTCTGCCCCCCCCATCCGTGATTAATTTCAGCTGTCAGAGCGTTCGCCCGGAGGATTCCTGTCTCGAGATGTTGCCAGTGCTTCTCAACGACCCCCGTGCCTCCGCCTCTGCCCCCCCGTCCGTGATTAATTTCAGCTGTCAGAGTGTTCGCCCGGAGGATTCCTGTCTCGAGATGTTGCCAGCTTCATTTTGGTCCCTCCGAAAGTAGAGCTATGCGCTTCTAAACATGAGCCTCGATGGGTGGTAAGGGTCGGTAGTTTATTGGATCGATAGGGTCCAGCCTTCTCGGCCCGACCTCTGCATTCTTAGAGCAAGCACTGCCATATTTTTGCTGTCAAAAGGCATGACTGCAAGTATAAATCTTTAATAAATCTAGGTGGGATTTGGAAAGATTAGGCCTTAAAAAGGAATTGTGCTCTGGAAAAAATATGCTAAGAGACCATATTACACCAGTCCTGAGGGACCTTCACCGTCTTGACAGTCAAATACGAATACATCTACTGAAAACAAGCAAAGTACATTTTATTCTAGGGCCATTTCACCAGCAGTGGCACACTCCCAACATAAAACTTCCCTTCCTTCGAAATAGGCTCTGGAAGCCCTGCCTTCCAATTGGCTTCTCCAGTTCATAGCACATTTACCGACCATTTAGCCACAGATTTTATTTTTTTTATCCTCTAATGAGCGGTATGGAGCTAGTTTTCATCATAAGCCAAAGTCGAGTTATGGTTGCCCTCAGAGGATCTGTCCTAACTGCACTTGACGTTACATTCTGTTATTTAAACACAGTGCCACCAGAGGATTCCACATGACTTCTCAAACTTTCCTTTGAGCTCCGTAAAGTTAAAGGTAACATGAATACAAATGCAGCCAAGACTTAACCCAAATGTGTCATGCTTTGGCCTTCAATGTGCAAAAATAGAGTGCATACATGGTTGGGTGCTGATAGAAACTGGCATAGCCTGATATAATTTAGTTGGAGTAAAACATTTACATAACCCTCTTCTACCTTACATTCCTTATTTTACGCCCCACTGTCAGTTGCAGATTGCAAAAAAAATAATAATAATTCAAAAAACACAGAATACATTTCAATGAGGCAGATATGTTTTATTATCTCCAAATAGTGAGTTTTAGCCGTCATTTTTTTACAATAGTAGAACTAGGAATTTAAATATATTCTCACAAATAATCAGTCCTTTGATGGCGCCAACGTGGCAATTAGTCTAAATATGCCTAAATACCGAATACGTACCGACACACTGCATTATTAGTTTGACAGTAAGTGAAAGCGCAAGTTGTGTTTATTAACAAGGTAACACTGGTGTTAGTTAAACCTCAGGATTATTTTGATTGATATCTTCCATCCTTGAACGACAACACCGTGGGAAACTGTCCAACTTGCAATCACCAAACTGTTATCGCCTTGTTTTTCTTTTCAGTTCTTAAGATGAAAATCAAGGAGGTGAAAAAGGAGAAAGGCGACAAGAAGCTGATCGCGGCCCAGAAGAAGAAGAAAGTGCTGAAACAGGGCGTGTTACGGAAAAAGGACCTGAAGAAACTGGTTTTGTACATCAAGAATGGGGCCAACTGCCCGTGCTCGCAGCTCGACGTCCTGGGTTCCAACTTCCTCATCATGGGCCGCAAAGTGGACCAGCAACTGCTGCTCATGTCCATCCACAAATGGGACAAGAAGAGCAAAGAGCTCAAGTTTGCCATCAAGTACATGAAGTCCCATCAGTGTCCAACCTACCACACTGTCTTCCAGTGATGCAAGTCGCTGCCCCGCCTGCAGAATCCATCACGACTGCACATGCTCATGATTTACTTTTCCATAAACCACCCTTGATTCCACAATCCCCCTAATCGGAGTCCAAAGACTGTTGGGTAAACTTTTATTTTGACACATTTAACATTAAATGGGAATGGGGTTACTTTTTTTTTGTGTGCGTGTGTGTGTGTGTGTGTGTGTGTGTGTGTGCGTGTGTGTGTGTGTGTGTGTGTGTGTGTGTGTGTGTGTGTGTGTGTGTGTGTGTGTCAAGGAATATAGGAGGCTGTTCTCGTGACAATTTATTAGGATTTTGCACAAAAAGTGATACACTGTAATTGGTGGAAGACTGATTTAATTTAGACTGATTGAAATAACTTCATTTTTATATTCAGGCATTTTATATGAACAGACCAAGACCGAAACTCTCTAAAAAAGGGCGCGTATGTTTCAACATAGTTCACAACTCAAAAGCGAACATCAACCGCAACTTTTGAAAACTAACCTGACCCGAACCTCACAAATCGCAACCTTCACGCAAACGCTGACCCAAAACCCAATCTCAAAACCGGAACCCAAAATCAACCCAGTGGCCAGACGTGGCCCCCTACCTAATTTTCTTATGCTAGCGTAGCCTCTAGGACACAGGTGTCAAACTCAAGGCCCAGTGGCCAGACGTGGCCCGCCACATCATTTTAAGTGGCCTGCGAAAGCAAATCAAAGTTGACAACTTCCATGATACTTGCTAAAATGTGCACCAAAATTTCAAACGTTCATATGTAATACATCAGTGACGTATTGTAAGCATTTCTTGTTACCAAACCGCTCATTACAGTTACTGAAGCAATAGTTGAATACAACGTTATTCTTGACTTCTTTATATAGTTTCAGTCATCACGGCCCTCCAAGGGAAACCGTAACAAAAATGAGTTTGACACCCCTGCTCTAGGACTTAGCTTAACCCAAAAACTAGCCCTGACCATTGACGCTAGCGATAGCCGCTAATCCGAGTCTCACTGGGCATCGCGGGTTGGATGAAATGTCGTCACCTTCTTCTTGAAAGTATTAAGCGGAACGGCAATAACCCCGACGCATAGGTGTGACACTTAAACAAATAAGTATCTTTGACTTTAGATCGCAGGCGATTAACTTGTCATACAGTTTATGCAATACAATACAATACTGATTTATATAGCGCCTTCACAACAGCTGCAGCTGTAATGTCCAATATAGCAGTATCTCTTATTGTGGTAAACATCTTTCACAAAACGTAGTGGAGGGGTTTGGTGCCAGAACTTTTTGATGTGGTGCATTGCTGCAGGGGTCTTCATTGAATGAAGTGTTTCTTTTTTTTTGTTTTGTTTTTTTTGTGCTCCTTCCTACTAAATCATCATGAGAACACGTCAAGTTGTGTCAATCACTTGTACAAGATCTGACAGCATCTTATGCAATTAGACGTTAGAAATGGAAATAGGAGCCGAGATATTCAGAATTCTAGCTTGGTATCATGTTTGATTATGTAATGCCTATTGAGAGAATGAGGGAGTTTTTTTTTTTTTTTCTAATTGCAGAGGAGTGAATTGCTAAATGTGGACTGTGCTGCACAAAGCTAGAAGGAGGAAAGGCAGCCCACATAGATGATTTGAATTATGCGCGAATTAGGTAATTCCCATGCATAGATGATTAGGAAAGCATTTTTCACCACTAGGGATGAAGACGAGGGATGGAGTAAGATAGTGCCAGGAGACAGATTAACTGAAGAATGCTGCCATCGACGGTTATGTGGCCTGAAAGATGGAAACGTCCATCGTTTTGAAATGGAAGAATGAAAAGAAAGTTGCTTAGTTGAAGCCATGTAAAGAGACTCTGGACAGAGCCAACTATGTCACCTGTACTCATTGTTCTTTTTTTCTTTTTTCGTGGTATTTGTTTCCTTAAATGTTTCTTTTTTTTTTTTTTTGGTACTTCAGTGTTTCATTTTCCTGTGGTATGATAGCAAAATTCACATTTATACACATAAAACAAACATAGTGCCTAAATTTACTGTTCTTGTCGCAATAAAAGATTAAATTTAACCATGGCAATATTTGTAATCAGTTAGCTTGTCAGTAGTTCTGTTACTGAAATACACCTTTGTTTTGCAAAATGTAAATGAATAAAGTATATTTGAAATTTTGTAAAGAGCATGTATTCTGAAGGCGTGATTTCTTTTCATTTCACTGATAGTGCTCGAGAGGTGCTTTCAGCCCCTTGGCAGACATTTGACAGTAGACCAATCAGAAGGCTTTTGCACATTCCTTTTTTTCGGGTGAGGTAAACTTGAAAATAATCCAAAATAAAATCCGGTGCAACATATTTTTCAAATTTTGGAATCACCACCATGCACGATCTCATATGATCTATCTCATCACATTTGAAACTTCAAATCAGCGAACGGCTAAAGGATTAATTCAATCAGACGTTCTCGTTGGCTTTTATCTGTTGAGTGGCTGCAGATAAAAGCATTGAACTTGAATTTATGGCAACAACACAACAAGGCTGTAGCGGGAAAAAACACAGGTGGCTCTCACCACTCTGTCCTGGCTGCTCAGTATAACATGCCTGAGAAGTGAAGCTGCAAAGTCAGCTGTGTTTAGTTATTTGTTTATTCATTTTCTGTGTAGCAGTTAACTTTTTTCATTCCTGTGTAGGATTTTGAAAAAGTGTGAGTCAAGAAGCCATACTGAATAAGACAATCAGTGACCACTGATTAATGAGTAGCAATTGAAAAGTGATTTGTATAAAAAATGTCGGTGTAACCGCAGCTGTGCAAAGAAATTAAGATTACATGAAGCTCAGGTGGTAGAACACAAGGTGTGTGAAATGAAAGGGCAGAAAATTGGCGGCCCCACTCTCTCTCTCTCTCTCTCTCTCCCTCTCTCACACACCCACACACACACACACACACACCCACACACACACACGTCAGCACCTCCTAAGATCTCACATAGGGTGGTTAATAAGGTCCTGATGAGGGAGCAGAACGCAACACACACACACACACACACACACACACACACACACACACACACACACACACACACACACACACACACACACATATCTTCCCACACACACACACACAAACACAAATATCTTCCTCCTCCCTGTGAGACTTTAACTCAAACAGATGTTAATTTGATAAAATAAACAAAGTGTAATGTTAGAAAAATACTGTAAAAAAGCAATTTCTCTCTCTCTCTCTCTCTCTCTCTCTCAAACACACACACTTAGGATTTTCCAATGTAACCCAACTCTCTTGAAGCCGCTCTGTGGTACGTGGATCTACTTCTGAGTGACATCCACACACACATACCTACTGTAATACATACAGTACGCGCTCACATAAAGCACACACACACAAATATATATATATATATATATATTACACACACACATACACAAGGTGTATTGGTGGTCATTTCTCCTTACCTGAGCTTGGAGGTGATGCCTGCAGGA